TATATATACGATCTAAAATAAAGATTCTTAATATTATTTAAAATTTATAATTGATTTAAATTTATAATTGGTTTCGTTGCAAATTATTTTATTGATGATATGAAGATCTTGATTCTTTTCAATATATTCGTAATGTTATATAGAGAGTTTAATACTTTATCTATTAAATTATATCGAAGATAATTTCCTTTTTTCTATAACATTGATATCGTTTTTAATTTAAGTTACATTTTCGATTTGAGCGCTTTCTAGCACTTCTATTCTCGTTTTATGTTTAATGAACGACAATGATAATTACAAATGTCTAATATAGCGTTCGATAGAAAAAATTGTATCATCTGGGCAGTGTTCCGACTTTTGACATTCATTGCCAGTGCTGAAAATCTAATGCAGGTTAACGAATGTTACAGATTTTTAATATTTTAGGTCCGATTACATTGGATGTGCTATCTAGCGAAATACGCAATTATTAATAGTATCTTTGTCGTTTGCTAAATGTTAAACAGATGAAATGACGTATTAAGCCAGCGGTACACAAGTCTTTTTTTCCTGCTAGATTTGCTATTGTATGGCTGCTATGTTGTGGTATTTTGCTAGTATACTAACAGTGGTAGTAAAATGCAAATCCAACTATAAAAAAAGCATCATGTACCTTTTGCACTAGTTTGTCCAGCGCGATTATGATAACTTTTTTTTTCTTTAGGGTGGAAATGTGAAATTTTTTGTAAAATATAAAAATATTCACTTTTCTAAAGAAAGTTATATGATCATTACTCAAATATAAGTAGAACAAAATTTTGTTTGAACTTAAAAAAATAACCACTCAGAACGCCCTTCTTCCCATCCCCTTCACATTGAATGCGAAGGGTGAACGATCATTGATGACAGAAATCTCGAAAAAAAAATCGAGAATTCGTGTCGTTCTCACGCTCAGAGAAGAGGGCTATTTCTCCTCATCATGGTTACATCAACTCCCATGTTAGGGAGGGAGAATGAGATCAACTCCTACAGAACTGATCCTGTGAAGTATGATCTTAAAATTTCCTCGCTGCACCGTCCTAGATATAGTAGTTGTGATCAAATTTTAAACACGAGAAAACAACTTTCTGCGGAGCCATCTAGGAAATTATAGAACAGTTAAACTTAAACCTAGATAGTCTCGCCACCTGGGGACCGGCGAGGTTACTCATCCAGAACAGTGATCTGAGTATCAATCATGAAACTTTTTTCTTAGGATTGAAAAGTAAAAAGTGAAAAATTTCTCCATTAACTTCAATAATTAAAATTTTCATTTTTCACTTTCCATCCTAGGGGTAAAGTTTCATGATTGATACCCAGAAGTGGACAAAAAACATTTGATATCATTAGAACAAAAGTAAAATTTATCAGATAAAAAATATATAATTTATTATATATTTTTAAACAATAAAAATATTAAATAATAACATATTTTTATAATGTTATTTTTAATGTAATTATTACAAAATTTTAATTAAATTATATGAGTAAACATATATGTATAAAAAAAAGCAAATCTATTATTATTCTGAATTTTATTGTTATCTTTGAATTTTAATTATTTAAGTCATATAAATAGCTGTTATGTATAATAATTAAGAGTGAAAGCATTGAGAATGAATTTATGACAAGAAAAGTATGAATCTATTATTGCAACAGATTATTTTATTAATGAGAGAGAGAGAGAGAGAGAGAGAGAGAGAGAGAGAGAGAGAGAGAGAGAGAGAGAGCGCGTGTGTGTGTGTGTGTGTGTACATGCATATATAATTAATACACAAATAATCAATGATTGATAAACTTGCAAATTAATTTAATATAAAATAAGGAAAAATTTTGATATGGAAATAATGAAAATATTTAAATTAATTTACGCACGTCATGTTCACCTTGCTTCATTAAAATCCAGTTGCAATTCAGCTGATGATTCGCTTGAACATAATATCGACCATCAGTCCAAAGTATTGCCTTGTTAATAGTGACTATAGCTATCCCAGCACTTCCGTGGAATCCAGTAAGAAATTCTCTTCTCATATCATGTGGATCCACAGTATCGCTCTATATAAAAACAATTTGTTTTATTAATAAAAGAATAATAAATTGATCGATATTAATATGATAACAGTCAGAGGCTAGTAATATATATATTAATTGTAGTAATTTGAAAAAGAATTTTCATATTTAATTAACATTAAAATATGATAGACCTAAATGATTGAATCGATGTCTCCCAATTGCTTCGTCGTCGATCAATAGTAATTAACACTTAAATATGTCTTTTTTATAAATTGTTTATCATTGTCTTTTATTTTTTATTTTATTATTTGGTATAACTTAAGAATATTTTTCTTATTTTATTAAATCCTAAAATTAGTGAAATGTTTATATTGGGAAACATGGATTTAAAGAACTGGACATTGCACTCAAAATCAAATAAAATTTAAATTTGAAATATTTTAGTAAATACGAAATGGCTAAGGTAATTAAACTGCAAAATTGATTTTCTATACTAAGAGAAGCTTTCAAATATGATACACCACGCAGAATGTACCTCCAGAGGGCCATCACGGCCATGAGATATGAAGCTCACTGTCTAAAAAGCATAATGAGAGAAATAATATTTAACACGTATCAATTGATTCGAAGCAATGTAGACATATCAATATCGCTACCAATCGGCTAGATAATTTGATGAAAATAATATTACACATTGGGCTTGATTTTTATAAATATAACGTAGTGATAAATATTATAATAATGAAATAACAGCAATAATTGACATAAAATAATTGATATTAAATCACTCGTCTTTCGAGTGATTTAAAACTAAACCATCGCAGTGATGAATTTTAATAATATTTATAAATACATTGATTTTTTTTATCACAATAAATGAAGAACACAAACAATCATTATATCCAATGCCTTAATTTTTATAATTAAGACTTGAATCTATTAACGCGCCAATTACTAAGATATGCAATGATAAACGAATAGATTTCTGGACAGGCAAATCATAATTATCAATATTGAGTGGAGTTAATTTCGTTGACATAGAACAACATAGAACTCACTTGATGTTCGTCATCCGATGTGACGATGTAACCATTGAGAGGTGGCCCTTGAATTGCCACTACTCGAATCATCTCGGATCTTAGTTGTCTCAGTCGCAGAGAACTGTCTTGTCGGTCGACTGGTTGATTCCCAACATAAGCGTTCGCTGGACAGTATAATCTCTCGGCGCCATTATAATTATGCTCCGGATTTAGTAGTGTGCTAGTATTAGCTTTCGTCAATCCTGCAGCACATTTCATCACAAGCACGTTTCATTTTTCAATTAACAATTTTAATAAAAAAGGTTGACTTGTGAAATTAAATTTGCAGAAATTAGATTGATATAACAGAATATTAAAGAAAAAAAGAGAAATATACAAAAAAATGTAATTTATACATCTTAAAAGAAGAAATAAAAAAAATATATATATATCTTAATTATATTATGTAT